ACCAAAAAGTTTATGCACGAGGCAGGAAGTTTTTCAATCCTACTTATACATTGCAAGAAAAAAATTTATATAGGAGGCAAAAAGTTTATTTATGGTTGCTCTAGAATTATATATGGTTGAAAATGTTGTTCTAATGTAAAAAAATCCTCTTATTGATTATCTAGACATTGAGATTTGTGAATATGGAAAAAAAAAAGAAGTTTGTGTTAAAAATAATGCACCTTGCAACACATTATCTAGACCGTCCATTTTCAAGATTTTCATATGTTTATAGATGTGCTTGATTTTAACCGTTTTTGAAGTTTTAAATTTTCTAATTAGATATGAAAATAGATTTTAAGATAATCCTAAGAATTTTTTACAACAAAATTGCAACATATTATGATAAAATTTGAAGGTGCGCCTTAATTAGATTGTTTGAGGTTGCAACCTTATAAAAACACACCATTCAAGGAAACCTAACTCCTAATTTATGTTAAAATTGGTGGTATTTTTTGCGATATAAAAAGTCAATTTGAGCTCTTCTTTGCTATTGTATGGCAATCTCTATAAACCCACAAAACTTGTCATTTCTTCCATCAATAATGAATTCATTATTGTCGTTTGTCCATGGTTCTCTTGATTTACGGCGAACTATGTATAAGTATGTTGATAGTGAATGGATAATTAAAAGAACGGAAAAGAGGATATCGCACATGATCATACAAGCCTTACTGAAATAGTGTAAACCCTACATTCATTAGAAATATGAAACGTATTCGGTGAGTCTGCTGACTCACTCTATTTTTGCACAATCTCCCTACAAAATACTATTTTTTATCCAAAATTTTAGAATTCGATAACCTCACCTACGACAATGCTCTAAATTTGAAAATTTTCTTTTTCAAAAAATACAAATATTATTTTTTGAATTCATTTCTTCACCATCTATTTTAACTTTTAGTAGATGTAACATTTTTTGACATCTATCTTAGAGACGGACATTAGATACACAAGGGACCTCATGGTAATAGGTGAGTCGGCAGACTCCCCAAAACCGTGTCTTTAAAAATAAGCAACATGTATTTGTGGTGACCTGCAATGCTCCTTTATTCCTCATAAAGATATCCAATATCGGTAGAGAAACCAATATTCATAACCTGATTAACCAAGATATTAGTTGTGATCAGAAGACCTGAAACATAAAAAATGTTCAAAATGCTTAGCAACTGAAAAACCCATTTTTATATGGCTGGCTGTGTAGGACAGAATTCTTACGATTGATAATTTGATTAAAAGGGTGAAGATTCTTTCAAATGTATATCTCTTTTGTAAGGATGATGGTGAGTCTAGGGCACATCTCTTCATCCATTGCTCGTTAACAGGGATATTTTGGTATTGGCCCTTTGAGATGGTTGGGATTCAAATGCCACTACCCCAAAGAACTGGTGACTTTGTTGTCTTCTTTGAAAGCACCGTTTCTAGTGAAAATTAGGCGCATAGTATGGAAAATTACAATTCGAGTGATTCTTTGGAAGATATGGAAAGAAAGATATATAAGGACTTTTAAAGGTGTTGATTGCTCTTTTGAAAGACTTATTCACGTTTGTAAATGTTCTATTTGGTCGTGGATTTCAATAAATAAAGGAGGATGGGGTATATCTAAGGTGGACGTGATGGCTAATCTGCAAAATTTATTTTATCTTGGTTCTTGCATATTGAGATCGAGAAGCATCTGGATTGCTCTGTGTGCAGGTAGCTTCAAGCTTAATTTTGATGGAAGTTCTTTGGGAAACCCGAGATTAGCAAGAATTGGAAGTATTTTGCGAGATTGTTTTGGTAATGTTATTTTCTTTTATGCTGGCCCAATTGGTTTTGCAACAGCTAACTTTGCATAACTAAGTGCTTTGTTGTGTGGTTTGAAGATTTTCATTGGAAGCCATATGGGAAAATGTTGCATGATCGAAGGTGATTCCTTAAACGTTATTAGATAGTGTAAGAAGGAACAAAAAGTCCCTTGGGAACTTCGACTTTTATGGTTGGAGGTAATGGATTTGGCTGCTAATGAAATGATGCCCTTCGCTCATGTTTATAGAGAGCCTAATGATGTAGCTGACTTTCTTGCTAAGGGGGGAATTTCTATTTCTACTCTTTTAGTTTCTGATGATGTAATTTCGTAATTGATGATGTCTTTTCGTAATTGAATAAAAGTAATGATATTGGTTAAAAAAAAAAAAATACTCAACTTTAAACAAAGAGTAATTTACATATGGCCCCTAAAAAATAGGAAAAATACACATTGCTCCATTTATAGCCACAAAGAAGGTTTCTCAACGTGCGATTTTTGTTTTCCAAAATTGTCCCTTAGTCCGAGGATGCCAACCTCATACCACCTCTTGGTATAACATGAATAACACGGTCCGAGGTTGGCATCCTCATTTGCAGTCCAAGGTTGGCATCCTCGAACCGCATTGTGAACTTCATTACCAGTCTGAGGATGCCAACCTCGGATTGCCCGCTGGTATAACGTGAATAACACGATCCGAGGTTGGCATCCTCGGACCACATGGAACTTTATTCCGGTCTGAGAACGCCATCCTTGGACAACCTTTATGTTCTTTTGATGTGGAATTCCAAGTGGTCTGAAGATGCCATCCTCGGACCGAGGGACAATTTTGAAAAAAAAAAAAAAATTACATATTGATTGGCCTTATTTGTAATTTTGAACAATAAACGGAACATTTTATATTTTCCCTATTTTTTTAAGGGCCGTATGTAAATTACTCTTAAACAAATCATAAGGGAAAAAGTTTATATAAGGTGTCAACCTGATACTGTAAAAGTAAGGTGCACCTCAAAAACTCATTGAAAAAGGTTGTTTCTTTACTAAAGAGTTCTCCGTTGATCATCTCGATCTTGATATATATGGATATGAAAGAAAAAAGGTATTTTAAGTCCTAAAATTAGTTCATCTTATAACACATTATCTAACCGTCTATTTTCAAGATTTTTAAGTGCTCATAGATCTGCTAGATTTGCACTATTTTCAGAGCTTTCAATTTCATTATAGAGGTGAAAAATAGAGTTTTAAGCCGTGATAAGAGTTTTGGCACTAATAATACATCTTTGAATGAGATTTTGAGATGCACCTTACTGTGATGGTTTAAAGTTGTCATCTAGACAAACCTCACCCAATCATGAGGAACCCTACAAGATTAAATGGCCATCTTATTTCATATTTTAAATGGCATTCTTCACTACATAGTTCACATACTAACGCATGGCTGAACTTGCATTAGTAGCATACAATCTTTATTAGTACAATACGTTATCTGACAATTTTTAAAATTTTTGTAATTTAATAATATGATAATAGGGAAACTATCATGTTCGCATCATGTGAATGGTGGAAAGCTGCACAAGCACCCTTCAAAGATTCACATGGAACCTAGCCTCATCTAATGGCTAGAAAATAATTTGTTCCGTAATTTATGTTTTTTATTTTAATTTTAGAACTATCTTGAAAGGAATTTTGTTCTTCAGCTGTACGACAATGTCACAAAATAATTCAGGAGTATTCTGGTTAACATTTGTATTCAGAATTATTTTGTTATTATTTTTATCTTGTGCGGTATATAAAAACCCATCACTTCAAATTTCAAAAAAAATAAATTTAAATTAAAGAATAAAACTAAAAAACAAAAAATAGAATCACTTGATGCTTTTGAATAAACCTAGGTTATCTAAACTGTTCAATGGTGCTTGTACATACTTCATGCTTCCATGTGACAAGCATTCCATCCCTTGATTACAATCTTGTTTGAAAGCTTACACTAATAAGATAATAATAGTGCATAGATTAGCATGCACGTCTACTATGTAGTACAAAACTTGAGATTTCCACAAAACGATCCATGGACCGCTCACAATTTGCAAAATACAAATTAATTTGTGAATCGTAAAATGCAGCAAAATTAAAAAACCAACATAAATGTAATCTGGCCAAAATATCCGATTAATAATTACCATGTCCCAACAACTGCCATGAAAATCCCACGATTAGTTTCCAAGAATAAATTCATGGTTATTTTCGTGGTTAATATTAAAAATAAATAAAATCATGGTCATCAATACCCGTATGTTTCTACACTTTCTTAATGATTAGTTTTGCAGTGAACCAATTTGGTATAATAGTGTATGGAAATCTTTCTTTGAGAATTATTGAATCCATGGATCACAAAAAGAGAAAGAAAGCTCGGGGTTCAAGCCACACCAGAAGGCCATAACAAATTTTGATTCCAAGGCAGATTTGATTCATTCATGATGAAGGTAAAAAAAGTTCAGGATAAATGGGAGAAGGGGATTTTCCCTCAAGTTTTTTTACACGCTCATAAATTTTCTCACTCTAGGAAATTCATCCCCTTCAGTAGATTGTGGTTGCCCTTCTTTTGTACTGTCTCCTTAGGAAATTCAAGAATCAGGACATATGGGATAGGTTTGGGCTTTATTTGAATTGGATATGAGCTATACAAGAAGTTCCTATATGTCGTTTTTTTGTTCTATTACTTTGTTTTCTTCATGCATCATTGCTGAACATTAAAGAAATTGGTTTTGTTTTTTGGTCATTAACAACTCTATTGGATTGTCTCTACTGAGGATATATTATGTGTGGCCTTTTCACTACTTAGGCCCTGCCCTGAAGGGATCAAACCAATCTACTCCAATGCGGAGGTCAAAAGTAGCAGCACCTTCTTGTAAACCTCTGCCATGGACAATGCACCACCACCTGGACAATGCACCACCACCGGCACCCAACGACGATGGGCCATGGGTGCCGCTCATAGTGGTCGCCAGACTGATACCTTGTATCGTACTTGTGTTTATTGTCGCCATCTCTTGGTACACCCCGCTGTAATCTCCTCCCAGGGCGCGTGCATGAATTGCTTCACTTTAGAGGCTTAA